ACTATAGTAATATACACGATGCTTCTATATTCACCGTGGCACTTATGATCGTTATTCTTATCGTTCGGGTAAAATCTGGTTATGTCACGAAATTTTAATACCGTACACATTACGCGGGTACTGTTACTCCGAAACTAATTATTATTGGACTTCCTAATTAGGCTGGTGATGAACTTCCGTTGTGTTTATGTCTTCATGGTTCGTTATACGTCAGGTTAGGAATGACAGTTAATTTTGTTATTATAGAAAAAAATTTTTTTTTTTCATATTCAACAATTTTGCCAATATTCACGATCGGTCGAAGAACAAAAAATTTGTTGTATAAAAAATTATTAAAAAATCATTGATAGATGGCAGCTCGTATTTGTACCATGAGCGATAAACGGGATTAGGGAATTTCGTTGTATTTGAAGAAGAAATAATAAAAACGGCCCACGATAATTTTCGTTCAATCAGTAATCAAACAATTTGGTCGAACAGCGTATTTCAGTGTACCAAGTAGGCTCGTCAAATTTTCGGTCGTTAATAAACGATTGATTGTCCATAAATATATATATCCGTGTATACATATATATATATACACACACTCCGGTCATAGGTATGTGGATCGGTCACGTATAGCTCGTAAAAAGTCTTACCCTGTTGGTGACACCCTGCGATTTCTCTAGAGTTCCTGATACCTTATGGAAACAAAACGTGGTTGAGTAGCGGCAATCACGGATTTATACATCGGCCGTTTTGATATTCAATACCTATAGGTAATATCGGGCGATTGACTAAAATATATAACGATAAGGATCGTATCCCAGAGTATTTTCAGGCTGAGCTTGTGCAAACCCTTATCCGACGTTAATAAAACGACGCCAGAGCTGTTAGCGGTGATAAGAGCTGATAATAAAAAAAAATTGAAAGCTATCGCCATCTTTGTCGATATTAACCGGAATAATTAGTCTCTGTATTGATTTCGGCGATGCAAAAAAATATTGCAACGTACGAAACTGTCGGTAGGTGCAAATAAATCATTCAACGTAGCCGGGATCTTACTCGGGTCCCAAAAGCTCTTTGCGAGTGCCACGTATCTCTGAGATGGCATCGACCTTGGAGACTCGTAAAGAGAGAAAAGGAAATGGCTGGGCATTAATTTCCTAAAAAGCATCTACCGTCTCTCTCATTAAATGATTTACTCTGGTCATAAACCGCGTACGATCACCGTAAACGTCTTATATCGTCCACCACACGTACGTCCGCGCATCTAACCATCCGTGAATCTATACGTCCATCCTACGAAACTTTACGTCAGTTCGAAGCTTTTCGTCGCAGGAAAGCTCGAGTCACGTATATACGGGAGCTTCGAATAAATGAAACATACGACAATCGAACAGGTAGGCGTAGACGGATGCCGACGGGTCTTGGGTCAGGAGGCGAGGTGACGAGGGAGGCCTTGGGAGCTTGCGACGGAGCGTGGCAGCCAATGGCAGCCGCAAGCTCGAGCCGGTTGGCCAATCGGCTGCGAGCCGTTGATGACGTGACGTTTGGGGGCCGGGTCAGGAGTCACTTGTGAAGGAGTTGGACACGCCCCCAATCGTTCGTCAACCGTCGGAGCTTGCAAGCTCGCAAATCCTCTCGTAGATGCGCGTCCGCGTGCACCGACGCCTAGGGACGCGATTACAGACGCCTTCGCTCTAGACGCTGATGCAGCTTCGATCTATAATACAAAGACGCACGACATTGAAATGACAATTCAATTTAAGCGCATTTTGTGTGCTTGCGAGCTTAACGCCAGGGACGTCATATTTCGTTGCATGACCTATGGTGCTACATTATATATATATATATATATATATATATATATATATATATATATATATAATATTTTTTATGTTTATAAAACCTTTTTTTTATATTTTTAACATCATTAAATCGGATGAATCTTGATGTGATGATGATCATTAATACTTTCAGAGCAATCAATCAATCGATCCCGTTGAGCAGTTATTAGAAACGTAAGCCCGCATTCCTGGAGGGAAAAAAATGAGTTTTTTTTTTCTTTCCTATATATACATATATATACTACGTTATGGAAACAACATACCAGTTCCTAGTACTGTATGTTGGACTTGCTCATTATGCTTGAGGTGATCGTAGTCAATGACGTCGGTATTGCAAATCGAGTAAATTAATAGTTCGATGATCCGGGTAATCAAGATGATTTCGTTGCATGCGTGTTACGTTATGAAATTCAGGACACGTTCTTTCTCTCTGGTTGGTCATACTGGCCGATCGATAACAACTTGCCATTCGGGACGAGCGTCGATCAGAACTTCCGGTTTGTGCGTTTTCAGATTCTACTGTATCTAGTGTATACTGGTACATATATATATATACGTATGTGCGTGAAATAGTACGAATTCGGCCCTGAGCGATTCTATGTGTTCAAAAATTGCGTCACCCTCAACGTACCTCGTGACGTCAACAGAAGCGTTTTCACTTTCGTTTTCACTGCACATTCTATGGCGACGCTGATATTATGCCGTTTACGACGTTATTGCACTCCACGTTGAGAAGCTGACCTTAAAGATTCTAAGGACATCACGATAAGCGTAAAGTACGTGGATAATAAGTTCAGTAAGGTCTGTTTTCATTGGAGCGAAAAAATAATATATTTGTCAAACCAATTGCAATAATAATTTTTTTATTTTCTAATTTTTGGTGGGGGAATCTCTTTTCCTCGAATTCTATAAATTTTTTTTTTTTCGCCTACCTTCAATACCTACTGCTGGCCGGCCGTATGAATTTTGCTAATATCCCGTATAAGCAGAAACAGCGATAATTGCTAAAATTGCTAATTATTTGCCAAACTCCTTAACGTATCTTCGCATAAGACGCAGTCGATCTGTACTAGACGGTTGTTTGCACTGGAGAAACAGGTAGCCAATGAACTGGGAAACTATTTTGCTAGTAGTCATAAAAAGTGCCTATTTAATTTCTTCATATTTGGACAGTTAGTATATATTACCGTTTTTGTTAACTGAATTTTTTCCGTGATTATACGATTATTTATGTACGTCAGAGTAACCCGTGATTTTGAGGTCATTCTTGCTATGGCTTCGACGAAGCGTTAATTTATGGGAAATAAATATGGTATTTTTTTGAAGACAAAATTTTTGAAAATTATTCGAAAAAAGGAGCGAAAGGATGCTCAAGTAATTTGGCAATCAAACCCTTTAATATTTATCGCATGACCTTGTAATTTCCATTTGTCCTCCTGCGGTTCCTCCTTGTGCGTTTTCAACGAGCGACGAACGCCTTCATCGCGACTACTACGAATTGACATTCCGCTTAGATTTACTTGTGGTGTACGACAGTGTCGCCGTAACGCATTTGCTTTGCGTTTAGCGTTCAACCGACCTCGACAATTACATACCAGAAATTACGTACGACATCTGTATATTCCAATTGGCAAGGAAACGTTGCTGATATTAATAATCCAAAATTGTATTTGCATAGAAAAAAAAAAAAAAAAAAAAAATTCAAATCGATCACTTTCCAAAATCTCTGATACCGAATACAATAAGAACGCATTTGCTTGTCCGAAAGTGAATAAATTGTAAAGTATCTTGTTGGGTACCAGGAGAAAGTTATCACGCCAGTGTGCACGGTTTTTTTAAAAAAAAAAAAAAAAAAAAAAAAAAATTCAAATCGATCACTTTCCAAAATCTCTGATACCGAATACAATAAGAACGCATTTGCTTGTCCGAAAGTGAATAAATTGTAAAGTATCTTGTTGGGTACCAGGAGAAAGTTATCACGCCAGTGTGCACTGTCTAATGCAAAAACTAAAGTCCAGTTTAACAGTTGCAGGAATAGAATATAAAAGCAGACCGATGAATACCTGAAATATAACGCAAGTCGATTAGTTACGTAAAAATGTGTATGAAATTTTAATTATGTTTTTTATTTTCTGCTATGAAAAAAAAAAAATTTACCCAAGCTGTCACGTCGCACGTCGCGGGTACTCCGGTAGTATTGCGTTAACGTTACCAGGCCAAATAAAACGAAATCTCCGGAGGAATACCCATTTTTTGCCTGTGCAAAAATAATTTTCAGACTAGTACGTATACAGTGCGATTGCAAAAAATGGTATTTGACGTATTAAAAAATCAATAGGTATTACCCCTAATATTAGCGATGTAAACAGCAGGTCGTACGATCCCGTCTTAAAATCTCTCGTGATAATAACGTCCTTTCTCTTTTCTCGTACGTCCTTTCTCCATCGTTCTGTCTCCGTCCTCGTCCTTTTTTTTTTATTTCTTTCTCGAGGATATTCCGGGCAGCAGGGAAGAGCACGTCGTCCGAGCGTGCTTCGAGCGTAAAAGCGAAACGTCCGACTCGTCCGAGTATCGAATTTAACGACGTGACGAGATTCTTACGTTTTCTCGTTTGTATTCGTGGCTTTTCCCGCGCTTAACAGACTCATTCGACTTCCGGTATATATGGTTATCATTAACGCGAGATTGAACGATCGTGCCGGATACGAGAAGAATGAAGAGTAAATAAGTAGTAACGATCAAAGACAAGTGGCGCCATCTGGATTTTTATTCTCGTAAGCAGTACGGGTTCGGTTCGCGTCGAAATTAATATTTTTCATAAATATTCAAGATAACGAGAGACGATAACGCGTATTTATGAAAATTTTCTTGATTAATCGCCACTCGATGTATTTTAATTCGCATACTTGACTACGCTCGTTATTCATTTATCGTATATTACGTCAAGTGGCAAATGGTCAAATAGTATTTTTTCTTAATACACCACCGTGCCGAATATTACAGCGGCACACTTTCATTTAGCTAGAAATAATATTTTTACAGCTGTTAACGCGAGTGTTGACTTGTATTATATTTAGAATTTTACAATGGAAAGGCCAAAGGCCTTATTCATGAATCTTTCGAGGGTTCGAAATGAAATCTTAGATCATTCGTGTCTACGAATTTGGCAACTGTGTCATGGCTGTTGTTGTAACCTAAGTATCAATTATAGATTTCCATATGTTTATACTCGACGTATTATATGTATACATAAATTCAACACATCAATTTCTTACTGTATATGTACCGTGTATATATCTATATTGGCAGCCATCAGGTATAAACGTCCTAACGTCTATTTTGATTTTACGTTGGCCGACGTGCAATGGTAAAATCGTATGGTCGCTTACTTGCAGGTGCGACTTGTCCAATTCGGCATTCGACGGACGTGTCGTTGATTAAGTCGACCAGACATTTGAGTATTCCGGCCACTCGGAAGCGAAATATGGGTTCGCCCATTGACACTAGAGTCACGTGGCGGACAAGGGACGAGACTGGCTGCTTCGCCACTGTAGAAACGATAGTCGGAAGTGTCGCTGAGTTGCTTGAGGATTTTCCGGCTGTCCTTAGATCCGGTTGGTTTTATCTACTTTGAAATTAGTTGATACATTAGGAATTTGTAATTTAGATGCACACGATCAGACTGGTGTATTAAAAAAAATTATATTACTGGAGTATACCTATATACATCAGCTGAATTTGAAATTGAAATGGAATTTTAATATTGTATTATTTGTTATTATCAGCAGATGGAATAAAGATGGAATTTTTTTGGGAGTTTTTTTTTGGTAAAAATTACAGTTTACGTAATTATGTTTATTTTTTATTGAATAAACGTATCGATCGGCTTTCCTTATTAATCGTTTACTCTTATGGATGGTTCCAAGATTTTCCTTGTTAACGTTTATCGTCTTTTGCTGCACATGAAGACCGTGTCAAATTAGCGACTCGCACTTGTGCTGCGTTTCTAATTAACTTTCGTAACGTCATTTCAATTTCGTTCGGACGAAACGAATTTCTCGGTTTTTTTTTTTTTTATCATTGTTGACATCCAACTGCGGTATGCTTATTCTCTCCAAATCTTTATTGAAATCTTTAGTTTATTTTTCTGTCACTCTACATACACTTATCGTATACGTTCGTCTTTGTTCTTGAAAGCTAAATTCTTTTTTACCTGCTTGCCCAATGACTCGGTTATTTCTTTTGTTGGTATATCGCCCCCTGCATTCGGCTTTCCCAATTGGTTTGTCAAACCGCAGTTAACCTTGTATAATTTTATTCCGAGCTTCCTAGTCAAGACAAACACTTATTCGTCGAATAATTTCTTATTCATGTCAATCTCAAGGAGCAATTTCACTTAAAAAAAAAAATTAAAAAAAAAAGTCAATGGTATTACCTCACACGGAAGTCGTCGAGTTGCACGAAAATTTTGGTTGAAAGATTTTTTTTTATTTTTATAAAAATATTTTTGTATAAAGCTGTAATATATATATATATACTGTTACATATATTTTTAATATATATATATTTGTATCTAAATGCATTTCAATGATGTCTACCGTGTACCGTCATATCGTTTTTTTTTTTTTTTTAATTATCTTTGAAAATACCATTGCTGAATTTCCCAACGGGGATTTACCGTCGGGATATGACGGACGTAAGAAAATATTCAAGATAATAAAAAAAGATGCACATACGCTTAACACGTGAAACGTAGAAACACGTGAAATTCCATGTCACGACATATCAGACATAACAAAGCACAGTGACTTTACGAACAACTTACAAGCAAGTAAGAAAATGTCTAGAAAAGATATCTGGACTTTCGGAAAGTCTATGAAAATGGTCATTTTTGGTATCTGTCTACGCATCCTACCTGACTGTTTACCCGATACGGATGATTATCATTCACAAAACAGTTGAGCGTTTTTACATTAACGAGCGACGGTTTTTTCTTTTACGTAATTATTTCGAAGAAGTCATCAAAACGAACATTAGTTAACAGTAAATCACACGTAAGAACGTATAGGAAAACTTTTTTTTTTCGACTTACATGACCCCCCTCCCACGACCCCACCACCCGTCACCCCCCCTACCCATTTTAGATCTTTAAGTACGTAAACAGGAATTTTTTCTCCACAAAACGACCGTATCACACATACTCACGCGCGTGTATAATAATTTCGTGACAATTGATTATACGTTAATTAGCCTTACCTGGCTGACACACGGTTTTACCTAAATTACCATGAATTCCGTAACGCCTGGCAAATTGCACGCTTTGCATCAGCACGCGTTGGGAAAGAATGTAAATCGGCGCGGATGCACTCGCGGAATCTTAAGGTTACCAGTCGCGTTCCACATTGCGAATGTTGCGTAAGACTTTGCGCGTTAGCTGTACGCGCTCTGACGTTTATGGAATCACTTAAGAGATTTTGCGCGTTGCGACACCATATTATATTTCGGCGAGTTAACGAGGGCTCAAAAAAATATGTACGGACGAGACAAACGACGAAAAAGGAAACGGCGACGCACCGATACGCAGTACTGATTTCGTGTGCTTGGAAATGTAAAAATATGAACTTCCCAATTAGTGGCACGTGGCTAAATAATTCATGACAGTTCATTATGTCAATCTGTCATACCGACATATGTTACGAACCGTCTTGGATTCGCGTAAAATACCATACGGACTTTTACTCCTGTTAGCTAAAGGGTCCTGGAATGTTGGCAAGACACGCGACATCACGTTTCGTACAGTGGAATGCAGGTCTGACATAATAGCCTGTGTACTTGTGTTTACACATATGTATACTCTGTACAAACTCCATTCAGATATAGGTATAGTATGACCATCTACCGCAATTCCCCAGCATTCAATGATGACGTAAAAATTATGCAGATTAGGATTCATCATAGACAATAAAAAAAAAACAGGTTCGTACAGTCGATTAAGGAATTGAGTATATTTTTTGGACAGTTGGCAAGCATTCAAATCCTTAGCAAATTGCGCACGATTTTTTTATATAAAATAATGTACGTGATAAATTAGAGATGTAACATATGTTTACTCAAAAATCATACATATATGTGTGTTTCGTGAAATATATTGTATGCAGTGACACGTGCTAGAGACGATTGTTTTGGAACTGTCAAAAAAGAAAACACGTCGAACACGTGGACCGTCTATACGTCAAAATATACAATACCAATGGGAGGATATCACTGGGATATGCCAGAACGAGGTAAACGCGTGGAAAGTTGTTGGTAAACAAAATACAAAAGTGACGTATGGCTAATATGAATGACCGTGTTGATAAGGCGACATGTATTTAGTGATTGGAGAATAATAAAGAGTGTCGATGATTAATTGTATGCCTATAGAGTAAAGGGTATAGTATCCAGGGGTTAAGTGAGATTTAATGTAAAATGAGATGAATAAAAATTTCGTCTCGTGCTTATCGCTCCCGAGAGGCCGAAGTCGAGCGAGGAGTCTTGGTCTTCGGCGAAGAGATAAATGGTACAGCTTCGCTGATGCCGACTCAGTGAAGTTCCCGTCGTTTCTTGCGAATTGAATGTGCACGCCGCGAGTGGGGCTACTGCAAGGAGGCAAGTAGGGCCCCGCGGTAGGCCCCACCATGATAGCTGTCACTCAATCGGCTTTAAAGGCACAGTCCCACTGGCTGTGAGTTCAGTTCGGCACCACGTGCCGCGAACGCACGCCGAATCTCTCTCGATTTTTAAAACGAGAGCGGAGCAGAGCATCGTGAACGATCGAGAGACTTAGAAAAGTTTATAGTAAAATTATCGAAGATCGTCGAACGAGGAAGGCTCCGTGAGGCGTGTGAAAAATTTTTTTTTAGCTTTTGAAATAATTTTTGATTTTAGTAGTTGCAATATAGTCGAAATAATTTTTTTTTCTTTCGTCCAAGTGACAATCGTAGAATTTTTTTAAATACCTGCGAGACGAATCTTCACAGCATCCTTTCAAATCGTCACGCCAAGACCTCTCGGAGACGTTCTGATCGACTTGGTCCAAATTCAAGTTCTTGAATGACAATTTGCATGTGTCAAATTGCAAATCGAACCTTGTCGGTTTCATCGTTCACTTTCTACGGTGCTATCGTATGTGGCTTTGTACATGTATTATACATGCTTATATACCGTTAATCTACGATTGACAACAAGACGTACCGAAGATCAATAATCTGCTTCGCAATTTCTGTGCCACTTCGCGTGGATTATTTGCCGTCAGCTACGACAGGAAAGTTTCCATAGACGGGAGACACGTTGGGCCTGTTTGGTTGGATTGAAGAGAGAAAAGTGAGAGAGAGGAAGAATTACAGTGGAAATAAGGATAAGAGAGATACGGAGTGGAGGATAGTCGATGGAGTCGAAGATTTGAATGATCTGGCAGATCGTTAAAAAAATTTCGGCCAACTTTTTTTTCTTCAATAAATTCGATGCAATTATTAATCAATCGTGGTGAGTGACCGATAACATTTGATCGGTAAAAAGAAGAAAGGAAGCTGTGACCTCGGACGATCTCTCGAGAGGAAAGAGAGAGTAAAGTTATTAAATAAAAATATCAGTGTCGACCGCGTGTTAAAGTTTTGTTCGATTAAAAAATCATATTCCGAAAGGAGCAAGTGGACCATCAGGATGCATCTTATCAACGTGTTTTCGTGCCTGCGCAGTCAGGAGGAGACTAAGCAGGCCAACGTGGTGGATGATAAAAAAATAAGAGAGGTCGAAGGTCAGGAGTGTCCGGGAGAACGTGGAAGTCAGTGGTTACAATTCGCAGCGGCTATTAGCGGTAAATGATTACTTTCAATTACATTCAGGCTTCAGAAATTTTTTGAAAATTTCTAAAAATATTTTTCCGAAGAGTCAAGGCACGTTTTTAAATAGCTTACGCTGGCAGAAAGTCAGAAATGAAAAAAAAGTAATTTTTCAACAATTTTTTTAATTAATCAGACTGCACGAACGTGCATATAATTAATATTGCATAATCACTCGGTGATCGAGACTGTCATGCCATCGTTTGAACTATGATATAATTATCATTTAAAATCTTTCGACTGCAATTTACAAGTACTGCAATTGCAGCATCTCCGTCTTAAGTTGCAATTGAGCACGTCGGATTATAGTAGCCCGCAGCTATTCTACGTGGCCAGTGTTAATAACCCCCTATTATTTCAATTGCTTCCTGTTAGACCTGTTCGTTCAATTTCAAAGTATTATTTTTCTGCTCAACTAACGGCAACGCTTATACTATAATACAGTCACGTATAGAAAGCCGACCGCAGTGGTCCTATACCTTTGGGGCTGGTCGTGATTAGGTTGGTGAAAATAAAAATTGTCAAAAAAAAAAGTAACAAAATAATTAATTTTCAATTTTGTGCGTTTCCAATAGATATTGCAAAAATAATTTTTTTTTTGTTTTCGCAGATACCTAAGCCTGTTGTACGTTAGGTCGGGTTGGGTTAGGTTAAGTACGTACCATGCGCTATAATACGCATTATTGAATTAACATAATTAATTATGTGTCGTTGATTAAGTCGACCAGATATTTGAGTATTCCGGCCACTCGGAAGCGAAATATGGGTTCGCCCATTGACACTAGAGTCAAAAAAAAAGTAACAAAATAATTAATTTTCAATTTTGTGCGTTTCAAATAGATATTGCAAAAATAATTTTTTTTTTTGTTTTCGCACATACCTAAGCCTGTTGTACGTTAGGTCGGGTTGGGTTAGGTTAAGTACGTACCATGCGCTATAATACGCGTTATTGAATTAACATAATTAATTATGGATAAAGGGGTAATCGTAGACGCGTGCCCAGACTGGACGTCCTGTCTTGTTCACCTCGTTCAACCGGTTACGCAAGTGTTAAGAAAATGGTGAGAGAGGAATTAAAGAAAAAAAAATCTTTCATGGAATGTTATTTTATGTATGTAAGCACGTCGGCGATATAACTAACGAAAAACGTGAGTGATGATATCTCGTAGTTCTCAATGTGGATACGCTTTGGCGAAAAATTATAAAAGTTGCGAAAAAAACGAGCGATCGGTTTTGTATTTATCGCGCGTTAATAATGATTCATTTTTTAAGCTTTTAATTCATTTGGACGATATCGCAACGAGCGACTTTACTTATTTCGCAAGACGCGTTTCGTGACTGTAGGACAAGTACACGGTGGATCCCATTAACCGTCGTGTTTTAAATTCGCAAATTAATAGCCTTTCTGGCCTTCGCCTGTACCTACGTTGTATATAAGCCTTGTTGCGTTATGCAATAGTGACTTGAGGTTTTCGTCGTCGAATTCTTAATCCACGCGATCTTCTCGTACGATATTTAATTTACTGTACTTCGAGGATGTTATCATTGAATTGGATAAATTTCGGCCGCGATTATTATTATTATTCGTTCATGTTTTCATTTGGCGAATTATTATTTGCGACACGCAAACTTTCATGACGAATTATTATTTCTGTTTGTGTCTTATCTTTTTTTTTTTCTTGAAAAAAAAAAAACGTGTCAAATGTGGATACGGTCGATGGAGTTATTCTTTTTTTGGTTTTCTTGTCAACAAATTTTTTTTCGATCCACGCGATTTTCTCATTGAGGATTTCATGAGATTTTTTTTCTATCAAAAAAACTTTTGCGTATGATTATACGTTGAGTTGGATAATATGAACTGTATTTGCTGGATATTAACCCCACGCGAAGTTCTTATCATTGGTAACATCAGATACGTTTAATGTAATTTTCAAGGATTCGAGTAAATTTTTGATTGGATTATATTTATCATTTTTCACTTCTCTTCTAATGTTAAATTATTTAATCTGTTACAGCCTGTATAGGAGTTATGGCCTGCGGTGAGCACTTGGCATGGACCTCGCCATCCTTACCATACCTCACCAGTTCAGAGTCGGAATTTCCGGTGACGAAGGGTCAAGGTGCATGGGTGGCCTCGCTGTACACTCTAGGCGGTATCGTGGGTTCGATACTGAGTCCTCTGTTCGTGGACAGACTCGGAAGGAAGTTCTCCCTGTTGGCTTTCGCCCTACCCCAGCTTGCAGGATGGGGTCTGGTGATAGTGGCAAAGAGCGTGATGGTCCTCTACGTGGCAAGGTTCGTCGCCGGCATAGGTCATGGCGGTATTTACAACGTAGCGGTGATCTACCTGGGCGAGATAGCGGACAAGAACATCCGCGGGGCCCTGGGAACATTTTTGAAGATGTCCACCAACGTGGGGACGCTGTTCGTAACGACCGTAGGAGCGTACCTACCATACTGGGAGCTTAACCTAGTTGCCATGTCAGTGCCCTTGGCGTTCATCGTGACTTTCGTCTTCATGCCGGAAACTCCTTACTACTACCTGATACGAGGTCGGGACGAGGACGCGGAGAGGAGTCTGATGACCCTGAGACAGGTGAAGAAGCCTGAATCCGTAAGGGCTGACATCGCCGCCATGAAGGATGGGGTCGTGGAAGGTCAGAGGTCAGAAAGGAATTCCCTGTTCGAGTTGGTCGCCACCAGGGGTAACCGTCGCGCCCTGGTAATTCTTCTCGGGCTCAAGGCGACACAGCAATTCTCAGGTCACATGGCGATCGTCGCCTACACCCAGGAGATCTTCAGCCACAGTGGATCATCATTGGCACCGGGTCAGGCTGTCGTCGTTCTGGGCGGGGCCCAACTGGTAGCTGGTCTCGTGGCAGCTGGTCTGGTCGATCGAGCTGGTAGAAGACCCCTGATGCTGATATCCGGTCTGACTGCTGCTCTTGCGCTGGCTGTCGAAGGACTCTTTTTCTTCCTGAAGTACCAACTCAAAGCTGACGTCTCATCGATCACCTGGCTTCCTATTGCTTCTCTGATTGCCTATGAAGTCATGGTCGCTCTTGGCATTGGGACTCTGCCTTACGTCTTGCTGGGTGAACTCTTTCCGACTAATGTCAAAGGACCGGCGGTCGCTTGTGGTATTATCGTTGGTTCCGTATTCGCCTTTATGGTTGGACTTGGTTATCAAGCCGTAAATTCTATCGTTGGGATACATTCAACCTTTTGGATATTCGCTCTGTGCTGCGCGGCTGGTACCCTCTTTGTTTACTTCATCACCCCTGAGACCAAGGGCAAGACTCTCGAGGAGATACAGAAGGAGCTGAATCCTCCGGAGAAGACGTTGCCCGGTCCTTGAAGAGACCGACGACCTTGCCTTAGGGGTCAGAGTCCAATGCTCGGTAGAGGAAGTACATAGAGCTGGGATGCTGGATGAACTCTGGATCATGAGTTTAGGAGGCTTGAGAACTGTTTTGCTTATCAGGAAAAATAAGAATCTGTGATACATTTACGGGAATGGGAGCTGCCTATGTCTTTTTGACACCTTGTGATCAGAGTATGAGCTTCTTAATAACAACGATCACTATGATTAGAGCAATTTTCGCGATAGGCCTGTCAAGTCCATGATAACGATTGATCGGTCGAAGGTCATGCACTAGTATTATCCTGTGCTCCCTGATCTTTCTAAATGAAAGTAAGAAGGATAACAAACAATGTGGATCCTTTCCATTCTACCGAATCGTAGTAATATATTTTTTTCCCCGTACCTCGCTCCACTCCGATTTATTTATTATATTACATTTTAATGCGTAGATTAAATTAAATAAATTTTATTTAATATTCAATGACTATCTTTATGCCATTTCCCTTCCACCTCTTGTTCCACTGGTTAATGTTTTTTTCAATATGATTTTTGAAGTCTAATAAATATTTCCGTCACTTATCACGAATCAATCAAATATATTTTAAATTTATAAATGTCAATCTGAAAAAAAATTTGTTAATTCCACAACTTCTGGTGTACGTGGTATTCGTATCTGTTTTTTTTTTATTTTGCGGATAAATTCAACTGTTTACCCGTTACATATGCGAGCAAAAAAATTTGAGATTACCACGCTCGATTTTTTTTTAAATTTCGCCACTGGGTATTTTGCTCTTTCACACATGTGAGATATCGGCCTCGTGTGGATAGAATTGAAGGTATTTATGTTTTTCTTATATATACACATATTATACTGCCTAAAAACGAGCACCGATCGGCTTCGTATTTTTCTTACTCGTTCGAGCAATCGAATCGTGATAGCCATAGGCGAGAAACGATTCTTGATTTGCCGGAGCAATGATTCCGGCATTAAGATATTTTCAGCACGTAAAATATAACAGCCCGAAGAGACAGCCAAATATCTGAAGACAATGAAATTATCAGGAATGCCATTCGCGTAGCTACGGATAATCTTATTGAGATCGTATTTCAGACTGTCGCTGATCATTGTACGGCCATTAGACTACAGGGTGACTAAAAGCTATTGCATTGGACGTTAAAGATTAATCTGCCATAGATCATCTGGGAATTCCTGTACGATCCTTGGCACAAATTTATCCGGAGGTAAGACACATTAGTATTATTTTTTTCCCCCTGTTCCCCACATGGGAATGCCAACTTGCGAATATCTCCGGGCAAATTTTTTTAACAAATTATTTCCGCATTGCAAAAATACCAAACACCGTGTCTCAAGATCAAAATCTCACACGAATAGTAAAATATTAATATACACATATATATATATTTACAGACATAGAAAAATTATTGAACTACAATAAACGTTATGGTATTAAAATTATTCAAAAAAAAATAGACTCAAAATCCCTATACCTTTTCCCATTAAAAACACACGGTTTGATTTTTTCGTTTTTTTTGACCTCGTAAAATTCTCAACTATCCATATACCCAGTGCCCGAGGTATCGTTATGCAAATATATTTTGTCCATACAGTGCCCACAGGACCACCCAAATTTCGTTGTCTTCCCGTAAGGTCACGACCCGCGTTTCCGTTCGTGCATCGAGGCCGTCATTGATCGCGGTCGCAAAACGCCTTTGGGAATCGCCATAAATCAGGAAAGTCAGTGTAGCGAGCAGCAAATAGCGGAATCATTTATCCGATTCTAGGCCAGTGACACGAATAAATTATCGAGTGTAGCCAATTAGACGGATAAAGAAAGTCTCCCGTGTTATATAGATCGACCGGCATATATATATATATATATGTACACACAACATATATTGCATACACAGTACAAGAACCAAGGAGAGAAACGTGAACGTCATTCTGACAGGAAGATCGTGACGCAGCCCACGTGGCAAAAATTTTCCACCGCGAGGCCAAAGAATTTTCGGCTTTTCTCTCGTTTTACGACGAGTCACTCCCGGAGGGGTTACGGCCGCCCATCCTGTTTCTATGACCTATCATTATAATGATATTCCATTCGTATCATGATGCTCGTATAATGATAGAGAGAACGCGTGCGAATCGGCTATTCTTTTTCGAGAGTCAATCTATCTGTCTGACTTATTCGCGTCTATTGGGTATTTTCCACTGTGCTGTCAGAATGATCTATGAGTTTGGGATTATTAGCGTTATTCGGCAGCACCGTTACTGGAGGAACTGACAGAAGTACGTTTGCAAAATGGCTACGTTACAGTTGGCAGTATGCTATCGGTCCGTGTATACCGTACGTATAAATCCTATATATATATATATATATATATATATATATATATATATATATATATATATATATATATATATATATATATATATATATATATATATATATCAAGCATAGGGGCAAATACAAAATATACGTATACAAGATGTAAATATGCTTCATGGTATCTTGTGTTAGAGACTTTGTAGGTAGGAATATATGGGTTTTATTAAACGTCTTTTATTTTTGATCCTTAGGAAGGGCCAATAAGCGTTCCTTAAGAAACTTCCTAATTTCTCAGTTTACTTAGGGAATCAAGCAGCTACGGACCCGGCTAATTTGCGGATACGGGAAACGATACGATTATGGCGTACCTGCAATGCGCCCGTAGTCTCGCCGACTTTAACGCGCGGTTTGACGTTCTTCGGCTCGGCTACTTTACTACCCTTAATTCCATGCAGTTTTATGAGGGACGGCCTATATGTCTACTATCGCTAAACCCCCTTACCGGCGATACTAGAAAATATATTATACGCGACCGGCAGACTAGCTCGTTTCGCAGCTCGTATAACGGCCTTACCTGGGCTTAACTATGGCTGACCATAAGATGTAAGACTCCATAGCGAACTACCTACTTCTGGTTGATCCTCTTTGCCACCCCCCACTATCACCCCCTGACCGTCCACCCTAGCCGTAAGAACGCCAACGACGTCTCAGCTATGACCCTTTGGAATCTGAACGAATTGCCAAAGCCTTACGGCAAATTACCTTTGATCCTGTGAGTTCGGTGTGAATGAACTTTCTTAATTAGATTTTTGCCGGGAGTGTACAAATTTGTTTTTTATGAATTTTTTAAAATTTTACATCGTTTCGAATTTAGCGTATATTTTTGGCTTGGACGGTACTCGGAGATTGACGGTAAGATTGTAAATCTCAATGACGGGATAATCGACGGGATCTTTGTTGTCGGCTAGGGGGAAGCAGGGGGAAATTGTGAGATATCCTTAAGGAGCATTTTCATTGGATAAATACTCGTCGTAAAGGGGTGAACAGGACGTGGAACATTATACCGTGTAAAATATAGGCCCGTAAATCACTGGGCGAGTGCGCCGTCTATGTTAGAGAGTGGCTCGATTAGGGTGGTCTTGAATTAGTGTCCGGAGAGGAATAACAGATTAGGTTAGATAAATTCATTGGGTCGCTTATTGGTGTACTGATAATTATTAGTATCAATTATTTTGGAGAATTTCGTTGCTGGCGATAGGGTATGCTGTGGAATTCATTTTATCAGTGTATACGATATAGGGTATTCTTGCGGGGTCGGAGGTCACTGAAGAAATTTTTTTTATCTTCACTTTCGTACAGATCCAATTGACAATGGTCCCGATAACGTTGTCATTGCGTGGGCTTAACTTTTTGGGAAAATGACAGCAGCTGTCATCCATTGGATAATATCTGTTGCAGTAAGTATAGCCAGAGCGTGAGGTGGGTATAATAAGGGATATTTGGTTCCGGTATCGTCGCCTATGGCCGCGAGAGCAGACCGTCTGTTTACTTTGGAAGTTTGACAATTTAGTTGATTGTCCGTCCCTGTTAGGTTGGGTTAGCGATGGCCAATCTCTGGACCCTTACGTCCTCTTTCATCCCCTAAGCTTTGGATCTTTCATATTACTTTCGTTAAAGTTGCGTCCGTCACGCATCCTGAGGAATCAAGATATGTCCTTTCGATATCAGCTGGAATCAAGATATGTCATGTGTGCGAGAAAAGTTGAGATGAGAGTACGAAGGTAATTTGTATGATTGAAATGTGACGAGAAAGAAGTGAAAACATGGTTATTAAAAAAAAAAAATGAAAATAAAATATACAAAAATCGATCAATCGATTAATCACAGATTCCTGTTAAAATAATTAATCGAGATGACGTGGACCATTTTTTTATCGTGAAGGGAACGGATTGGATAAAAAAAAATTTGTTGGATAAATTGTGAAATTTTTTTTTGGACGATCGTCGATTCCATCCTGCACGGCGTCTGTGCAATAATGGCGTCTTTCTTCTCCGTGGACCGCAGCATCCGCAAGTGCTAGAAATTCTTGGCTGCGCTTTGATTACCAGCAGGCGCTGAATAGTGACAGGCCTATTACCAGATGCTAATATAAGAACCCCAGGTCTCGCGTTATGCACCCATAGCTGGTACCTACACCCTGAATTCACATTGGCGTCTCTGGTACTGGTGGTCGTAAAAGCGTAGACGGAAGGCGTCGCACCTAACCTAGAATCTACAATCTACGACTCACAGTGGGTTGAGACCTTCGCGCAGAGAACGAAAAAGCCCTGTTGGGGTGGGTAATTATATAAATGAAAAAGATGGAAGTACTCGCACATAATTTCGTATGCATTAAAAGCGAAAGTTATGAATGAGATTTCGCATTTTATTATCTCGTTACGTTCGCGGTAGTCGCGGTTTGTAATCGGAAAACTTTTTTCGCCAATTTCTCGCGACTGTTGACAGCGCCTATTGGGCGCAATTGAAGAGAGAGCAATTGACAGTACGGAGAGTCTAAATAATAGGATAGCCTCTTTTTCATCGATTCTTCGGATTCTTATTCTACTGCATATACAACCGAATAAAAATTTTGATAAAATTATGAATTTTACCTAAAATTCATTAATGGACGACCTTAGGTCGTTAAAAAAATATAATTACATTATATCACAAAATTAATAATTTTCAATTATTTTTACGCACCGTTTCAACGGCCTACAGTCATTTCCAAAAGTTTGGAAATATCCTTCGATTGTTTTAGGTATTGTCATAGTGATTGAAAAAAATCAATAAGGGGATATATACAAACAAAATTTTCGATTACGTCATTTTACGTCAGATAATGGTAATTTTTTTGTATTCGTCCTCCTTTGACTTTTTTTTTCCTCTTTTTCTCCAATACACTAACCCCAGATTTCCATTGCTCCTGGCTTCGCCGTTCCTGGCACAGACTTCCCGTAGAAATCTCCAAATGGATTCTACCACTGAGTGCCGTTTGATTTCAGAGCCAGCTGGTGAAGTTAATCCGGTTGACGATGAACCACGTGGCGTCGTGCCCGAGGGCGAAAGTCTACTGCGCCACGAATCGTGGAAA